AAAATGTGTCTGATCACTACATAATGGTTCTTGATGTTTCATGAGGTCTGCAGATTCATATTTAAAATTCATCAAGTCAATGTCCTATTAATGAGCATAAAATTAATGTGTCATCATCTTGTTAGTGGTTACCAAATTAATTAGATGGTGGTTATATTGACCTATTTCCTCAGCTGCATTTATAAAGATTATATATATATTTTAAATGCCTGGCACTTTTGTTGTATACAAAAATTTGTATATGCCTACTTTTTTAAGTCAAGAAAAGTACAAATAAGAAAGTAAAAATCATCCCTGACTAGTGTTGCTAAGTTGGTTGGAGTGTCTTCCTGAAAAGCAAAAGGTTGCCTGTTTGATTCCCTGTCAGTTCAGTTTCAAGAACAACCATGCTTTCTTTCCTTTCTCTTCCACTCCCCTTTAAAAATCCAGGTAAACCTATACTGGCTTTCCCTTGTTCTTAGAAGACACACTCCAAGTCATTTTGTTAACCTTTCACCCTGCTATGACAGTATAATATTTTGGTAGCCAGCATGCTTTGTGGCCTCATTTACTCTCTCCACCAGTAAGAAATACTTCTCTCCTTGGGGGAGGGAAGATACGACCTAGAGCAATGTTAGCAAATAGGACCCTACACACACTTTTCAAAGCTTTTACTGGGGTTGACTGTCTTGAGTCCTGAAAACCTAGCTCTGCACATTAACAGTGTATGCCTGGAGGACTCAGACCACAGAACTACATAATGAACTACATAATAAGAAAAGATGATGAGATGACATTTTACAGATCTTTCTAAAAAGAAGAGGTTAAAATTATTTTCTGGTGCAGCATAGGAGTTTGTAGAGAATTTGGAAGACAGAGTAAGAGATTCTAGATGTTAGTGTGAAAGTCTGCTTTCAATTTTGCCTCCCATCCTAGTCAAAACCCTAGAGAAATCATGGAAAACTCTTGATAGATTTGGCTGCACAAAAGCAGAGGGAACTTGGGGGGTTCTGCAGCACTCTGACCTGGAACTCCGGAGAAAGAGTTGAGCAGGTCATGTGGAGTGCACCCATGCCATCATGCAGGCATGGCGAGTGCCAGGGCACTAAGGGCTCTGGATTCCTCATCTCTCTTCCTTTTGAATGTTACTTAGCTTCCACAGGACATTGACAAGGTGTGAACATTAATTACCTGCCTGAGAATTAAGAGCCTGTATACCTAATGAAGTGGCAATGTGGATGGATACATGGGAAACCAGTAGTATCAGCTAGGAATGGATGGCCTAAACTGCCGTCTGGATGAAGAAATGACTGCTGTCCTGCCATGGGTGCTGCCAGTGGCAGCTGAGGTTGGGCATATTCATCAAGAAGTGACTGTGAATTTCTCCACCCACTACCTGTGCCAAAAGAACAGAAGAGTGCTCACGGGTCACAGACCTTTCTCTGGAAGGTGCTAGGATAACAGAAAAAGCTCTCTTGAACTGAGATCACCTACATAATACAGAAACAGATCTATCCAAAGACGACTGAGGGGTAAACCATAGGCATTTTATTACTTTAAACTGACAAAATCAAAATTTCTGCCAGCAGCAGAAATTAGGGGTTGAGAGATACACCACGTTCATTAGGAAATGAAAATTGTTAACTCTCAACACCTGATGATGTAATGTGAAATTTTAAACTTGCTACACTACCATGACTTTTACTCAAGAAACAAAAGCTTCATCCTTGACCAGTGAGACTGAGTGGGTTGGGCGTTATACTGCAAGCCATTTCGATTCCAGGTAGGGGCACATGCCTGGGTTGCGGGCCAGGTCCCCGACTGGGAGAGGCAACCAGTTGATGTTTCTCTTGCATGTTAATGTTTCTCTCCCCCTTTATGTGTCTCCCTTCCCCTCTCTCTAAAAATAAATAAATAAAATCTTTAAAAAGAAAGAAAAGCTCCCTAATTTCCATTGAAACTTTCATTTGAAGTAAGAAAGTATTAACACATCAGCTGTTATGAATATTGAATGTGTTAGTATATAAAAAATTCTAAAATCATTACTTATTTTATTAAAAATACTGATTATATCTAAGATCACATTGATGTCAATGTAGTAACTTGCTTTATACATCCAGGTACTGCATAGAGCAACATGAGTCAACATAATTTTTGGTATCATTTACTCATTTGAGAATCTAATGATCTTCCCAGAAAAGTGAATAATGAATTACAAATTTGGCATGTAATTTCAGTTCAAAAATAACTCAGGCCCATTCTCTGAGCCTCTGAAGGTTGATGAAAGTTCTTGGTCTCTACATTTGAAATAATATCTACCACAAAGGTATTAAACAGAGGAGCTAGATATTTTCTCACTTTTGATAGAAAAAATAAATTTGTCCTCTCAAAATATTTTCTTAGAGAATGAGAAAAAACAAGCAACAGATACGTTGGCCTTATCTGATAAAAACTTTAAATCAATTATTATATCAATGATTCAATGAGCTGACACTTAAAAATTAAAACAAGAAAGTCTCAGTAAATAAATAAAAGACATAGAGAAAAATGAAAGATTTAGAATTGAACAATATAACAGAAATAAAAAGTCAATAGAACACAATAACAGAGAGGACAGAGGCAAGAATCAGTGCATTTGAAGACAGAACAGTAGAAATTACCCAACATGAATGACAGAGAAAATGTACTAAGGAAACTAATATGAGCAGAAACTCAGCAACTTCGGAATAAAACAATATATTTAACATGCTGTCATTGGACTCTCAGAGAGGAGGAAGTGAATGGGGCTGAAAAATATTCTAAGAAATAATGACTGAAATTTTTCCCAATTTGGCCAAAGACATAAGCCTATAGATTCAATAAACTGGTCAAATTCCAAATGGTATAAATCTAAAAAAATCTATACCAAGGTATATCATAATCAAATTTCTGAAAACTGTAGACAAAAAAATTAAACTTAAAGCAGAAAGAGAGAAATGAGTCCTGACCAGTACAGCTCAGTTGGTTGGCGCATCAGCCCATACACCGAAAGGTTGGGGGTTTGATTCCCAGGCAGGGCACACACCTCGGTTGCAGGTCTGATGCCTCATCAGTGTGCTTACGGGGGGGCAACCAATTGGTGTTTCTCTCTCACAATGATGTTTCTCTCTCTCTCTCTAACTCTCTCTCTAAAATCAATAAACATATTTAAAAACATGCTATGACCTAAATAAAGTTCCCACACAAAATTGTAATTATAATAAATATTTTTTAAAAAGAGAAATAACATTTTACCTAGAGGAGGAAAAAAACTACTCAAATGACAGATTTGTCATCATAAACCATGGATGCCAGAAGAGAATGGCACATTTTTAAATGCAGAAAAAAAGATATATATCAACCCTAAATCCTGGCTATATTATTCTTCAAGAATAAAGGGAAATTCAAGACATTCTCGGATGAAGGAAAATGTGACACCAACAGATCACCCTAAAGAATGACTAAAAAGTTCCTGAATATCCATAACCTTAATTGTTTTACTAAAGGATGACATAGTTATTATTCTTATCACAATTGTATAAATAAGAACATGCAAGCTTAGAAAAATGATAGAATTGTATCAAAGCTTGTCCAAAAATAGTGTTATAAGATAAAAATCAGTCTTAAAAGAAAGCCATTTAGGAAGATTTTAAATTTATTTCCCCCCTTGCCTCCTTAGTTACATTATAATTCTCCTACCATTTTTTAAAAAATCAGTTTTTTAAATCTGCTTTAACTCTTAAATGGAATTGTAAGTACCTTTTAATTGTAATATTCCACCCACAGAACTAGACTATAAAAATGGGTGTAATACTTTTAACAAATTGCAAAAACCATATTCTTCAAATATCCTGCCTTAGCTAACCAATATAATGACAAACAGCAGTCATTCTGAATCTGCGGGGGCCAATTTAGCGGTGCAGCGGGCAAGGTCCGCAGCTTCCAGCTGTAATGAGAAAATGGCGCCTGCCCTCCATTAGTCTTGGTTACTATAGTAATTCCATATGCAACCCATGCACACTGACTAGTGAACTAGATCATGTATCTTCTATAAATTGCTCTCGTTAGTCACTTGCAATTTGTTTTATGTTTCCCACAATTTCAAACCAGCAGTGTCAGGAACACGTTTTCACAATTATGAAAAAAAAAACAGAGCGGTGAATGTGTGCCTCCAAACTCATCCTTACTCTTCGCTATCAATGTTTATGTAAGATACTGAATATTTTTTTAAAGTATCGAAGCCCGTGAAAGTGATTAAAAAAAAAAAGATAGAAAACATACTTCCTTACTGCCAAGAATATTTACTACAAAAATATGAGATCTCTTTATTTCTAGAAGAGACTACAAAATAATGTAACTTATTTTCCCTATTCAGCATTATGATAATTTATTAGCAATATATTATTTGAAATTTGATATTAACATCCATCAGATTTAAATTCAGTTAATATTTTTAATGTACATATTATATATTAGATTAGCAAAGAAGTTTTAGCCATTTTGTCCATGGGTGCATCTATATTCAGTGAAAGCTAACAGTGTGTTACTTTCTCATTGTATTTTGGCATATTGTCAATGCTCGTAAATATATGCATAGCCTCCAATACAATATCTTACCAAATAAGTATTGATTGTGTGTCAGATGCTTGGTATAACAATGAATATTTCAACAGCTTTCCCATTAGAGCTTTGAACAACTATGGAGGGTAAAATATCCAATACTGATCTACACATGTATCTATGCCTCAAATACTGCTTTCTAGACATCATTTCTTTTAATGAACGAGAATTTTGGTTCATAACATAAAAATATAAGCTAAATAAATTGGTTTGTAAACTTTAGTGCACTGTAGTCTGACATAAGTAGATGATCAATGCTTGTTACATAAATGAATAAAAATCTGTAACACAAATATAAAACTGAAAGGTTACATATGAGATTTTATAGTGATAAATACATATGCCTTTAAAATGAACTTAAACAGCAACAAGTGAAACCCAAATTTCAAATATATTCCTGAGATTATCATAGACTTCATTCACAGCATACTGTTAATAGAATATGTATACATATAAAACGTAAACTGATCATTCACATTTTATAACCCCTAAGCTTGTACTTCTGAATTACTATATATCAAACATTTTGAGATTTAAATCTTTATTATTCATGAGACAAAAAGACAAAACCACAATAGGCTTTAAAACACCCAAGCTTTTCCGAATTCAAATCTCTATCCCAATATTAAAAGTAATGAAGCTTCAAGAGACAGTTGTATACACATTAATTACTGTAATTATTCAAGCTACTTTTTTTCCCTAGGGCCACCTTATTTCTAAGCCTAAAACGGCTCAGCCCACTGACAATTAGTATCTGATAAATGATGCTACTGCCACACTTCTAATATAGTGATTGATCATTTCCAATTAATTCCTGAAAGAGATCAATGATTTCTTCCTGAAGCATTTACATTAATTTATGTTAACATGAATACCTTATATCCACCATTTGCTAGGGAAGATGGGCCATTCTATTTACAACTGGTTACTACTTTAGAGTTTAGGTACACTGTTTCAGAGCCCCCCCAAAATGTATAAAAGCTATAAAGATCAAGTAAAACTGGTCAACGTAATCCCTGTAACTAAATCTTGCAATTGGTAAATGTTGATTGAACTCAAAATTCAAGAAAAAAGTGTTGGCAGGTTTTTCAAATCGGTTGTAGCTTAGAAATGTTTTGATGTATTGGAGATCCCACTTTTTGTTTGGATTTATACTTCTATCTACTACTCAAATGACTTACATTTTATAAAGATATGACCCTAAAGGTAATATTCTAATCAAATATTTGTTCCATTCCCTTTTATTTTGTTTATTCCATTCCTATGCATTCATAGTTATCAGCTACTTAATGTGTATCTGTACAGTGTGAGGGTCTTGAATGTTCTAGCAATAGACGCAGCCTTGACCTCAGAGTGAATACTCTAGTGCAGCGATTTGTCAACTAGTGTGCTATGAGAATTTTTAAAATGCAATACCTTACAATTTAGTCAGGGGTACTGACCTCTTTTCCCTTAGATTGTCAAATAAAAAAATGACAACAGCCACCACAATAACTATTCACTGTGAATGAGTCAAAATTATATCTATTTTTCTGTCAGAGAAGCAAAAAATATAACATTTTTGGTGTGCCATATTATTTTAGTCTATGTGGACCATGAGACTAAAAAAAGGTTGAAAATCAGTGCTCTAGTGGAAAAGACAGACTCACATGAACACAGCTACAATTAACAGGAAAGTGGGTGGTTTGAAGAAAATTAACAGGCCTCTAGAAAATTAGCTAGAGGCCTTGTGATGAGAAAATGAAATTAAAGTGGGAAGTGAAGGACCTGGGTTACCACATTCTTGGCTGAAGGAATAATGAAAGTTTCTAAGAAAAAAGCTCAGCCTATCCTAAGAAATTCTATTTTGGAGTCTACAGAAATTGGTTTAGTATGGAATAATTTATTACCGAAAACAGAAGATGAATTTTGTGGGTACAGATGCTAATGTAGATAGATGTCGTAGTCAATGTCTGCCTAAGTTCTTTCAATCACTTCAATTTTCTCGGTGAATATGACTCAGAGTCCACTACTTGAGCATCTAGGGTGGAGTAAGGACTGTAGAGCTACAATTAAAAAAAATACAGAAACCAGCTAATTGCAGTATCTGGCAGTTATGGATGGGTGACCACATAAATTATCAGGCAAACCAGGACACTCTGGAGAATAAAAGGGGACATTTGTATTATGTCAGGACATCAGGCATAACTCAAATGTCTTGAGCAAACAAGAAGCTACGTGCACCCTAACCTATACTAGGGGGATGAATGGAAAGGGAGAGAAGGGGAAATACATTGAAATAAATGTAAGGGTTAAAAGAAGAATTCAAGGATAATTTCCAGGTTTCTGGCTATTTACTAAGAAATTCATGAGAATAAGCAGGCTTATGTGAGGGTATTTATGTTTTAGGTATGTTTGGTTTGAGTAGCTTGTGACACCTTTACATGAGATCCCATGGGATGGTAGTGTACACCCAAGAGGAACTAGACTGTTAAAGTCTGAGAAATCCCAGGAAAGGTGGATTAGGGGAGAAGTTAGCCAGAAAATCAGACTAAGAGTAGCTAGAAATGTAAGAGGAAACCAGGATACAGTGGTGTCACATAATTTAGAACAGATTTCAAGCCTGGTTTCAAAAAAGAAGGGAGTGGTCAAAATATGTGAAGTCCCAGAAAGGTCAAATAGTTGGATACCAGAAAAATGTCCTTTGAATTTGGCATCATAGAGGTGACTGGTGACCTTGACAAGACTTACTGCAGAGAGAGGGCTACTGAGGACAGAATTTAGATGAGTGAGTTTGCTTTTCAAACCATTTCTGATAACATAGTTGCTGGTTAAAGAAAACTTCACTACTGGGGGGGGGGTAAAAAAAAACAAAGTAAACCATACTGATAGACAAAAAAGGTGTCTTGTCAATTTAAAGTAGTTTTTTATTTGAAAAGTATGTATCTCTTCAGCATTCCTAAAAAGCAAACTATTATTAATTACATAGCTTTAAGTAGGATACTTCCAGTGTCACCTCCGCTATCCACAAAATCCATGGCACCACAAGTTACTTTACATATTTCTAATTGTAAATTATAATTACACTTATTATAAACTAGCACCTAGGAGATATTCTGGACATATTATAGATTTGGTGGGACACTGGAATTTTAATTTTGTAAACTGTATATTCGAGTAATCGATAAAAGAACATTGTCCAGAGAAAACTGGGACCCGGGCTGAGCCCCAAACCTTGTTTTTTTTTTTCCCCAGTGCAACTCATGCACCACTCCCAAGAGCTAACAACAGGTCTGTCCAGATGCTAAGACCGGGGACTTCAAAATCTCCATCTTGCGCTTTACAGGACTCCAGGGCCTTTAGAACTTCATCTTTCAGAGGTGAAGGGGCCTGACAGAGGCTTTGAAACCTGCCGTACAACTCCTCCCAGGACACATCATGGGCCTCGGCTCCTACCCAAATGCCCCTCTGAAGATCGTAGTGCAGATGTCGACCCCATTCTGTTAGCAGACCCAGATAGACCCGAAAAATCTCTGGATGGCGGCCTGCCACCGAAGTTAAAAGCGCGGCTGAGAGGCTGCGGCAAAAAGTAGCCATGATGTCCGACTTCCCCAGAAGCCAGTGAACCAGCTCGTGAGCCCCCTCTCGCTGAGTTCTGGGGCTGCCCAGTTCCAACTCCTCTTTGGGGGGCCGCGGGGATGACGACGGCAGCAAGAGCGCGGCCGCTATCACCTCCAGGAAGTTGTTCCGAGGTAAGCGCTCCCACAGGCTGCTGAGCAGCCCGCTGGGGCCCTGCGCTCGGGCCTTGCCCACCTCCTGCAGACGCTCCAGCAGCAGCTCCGCCTGAGTCTTCACCAGTGGGTCGTCCCTAGCGGCCGAGTTCTCTCCAAAACCGCTGAAGCGCAGCAGGTGGACCGCGGACCTGCGGCGGGCAAGGAGGGTCAGGCGGCTCTGGAGCGTCTCCTCTTCGGCGTCCGAGACGCCAGGTCCAGGAAAGAGCTGCTGCAGCAGGCAATGAAAGGCGGCATCACTGAGGGCCCGGTTGTCCAGCAGACTTTGAGACAGCAGGATGTCACAGCGCCCCAAGTCCCGGAAGTTCGTCAACCCGGAGAATGCAGCGGGCCCGGAGCAGTCCTGCTTCCACTGGGTTTGCAGCCGCCTCTCCAGTGCCGTGCGAATGGCGACACGGCAGCCAAAGCGCCTGTGGACGTGGCGCATGTACCGAGCCCACTGCAAGGCCCTGCGCACCGCGACGGCATCCCAGCTACTGACGTGGGGTGTGCGGGAGACGGCCAGAACCTCGGAGATGCGATCCAGGTGCTGCAGGAGGGAGTCCATGAGGGCGCGCCAGGACCTTACTTCCGCTTTCCCTCTGCAGTTGGCTACTCTCTGCAAACCAATTGGAGTATCCACGAAGTGATACGCCTTCCTGCAATGCTATTGGGTGAAGTATGTGTCAATCTAACAACTCAGTTTTAATCCGGGTATTTTGACTCTGGGAAATTTAAATTACAGAAACTGCGGGGCTCTTTGACTTTGGCCTACAAACTTTTTTCGGGAGGGAGAGTAAGTGTAGACAAGTAATTCTTGTCTGAACGAGAATTGAGAGCCCGGGGAGAGACTCCGTTAATCACGAAATTCTCCGTGCTTCCTTTTTCTTTGAAATTAATTCCTCGTAGACATTTCCTGAATTTTGCTTGAGAGAATCTGTGTTGAGGTTTATCATAGTCGGGAACTCCTAGAGACGTGATGTTACATATAAGAAAATGTTATGAAATTTTAAGTTCAATTCAGTTTGAAAAAATGTACCGACTCCAGTTAGTTAATGCCGGGCACAATGCAAAAAAAGAGTCTGGGCTTGGACGTTTTTTTCATTATTAGAACTGAAGCCCAGTTGAATTGAAACAAAAAGTGAACTTAACGATTAATACTTCATTAAGGTTTTAAAAGAAATTACAATTTTATTTCAAAATCGCACTTTTTTTTTTGTTTTAAAAAATTCCAAGGCAAGATAGCTTAATTGACACATTTCACACAAATAACTAATTTAGTAATATAAAATTTAAACCCAAATAACAAAAACAAAGGCTTGGCTTAAGTTTGTGGGGAGAGAGAATAGAGGAAGAAGGATCCATTTCTGGACGGTCATCTGGATTACTTATTAATTTATGTATTCAGCAAATAATTGCCAGCGCCTCGGGGTTTCGTTGTTTCAAAGCCCATCACAGTATCTAACTTATTGAAGTTGATGACATAATAACTCATTTGAGCTGAATTTCTTTCCAGTCCCCATGACAACGAAAACTGTTCTGATAAATAGTCAGAATTGCTATTTTGTTTTGTTTTGCTTAATCAAAAAGATTTTAAAGGGGAAGAGTCATTTTTCATGTATTAAAATCAGCATTTCCACACCTCTTAAGAAACAAATCAAGAAATGGAGCTTCTGCTGTTAATTTTACACTTGATCTTAGCCAAAAGGCAGAGAAGCGATTATGCTGTTAATTTTATTACTTGATATTTTCGCCCAAAGCTGTATGTAGTCCTGAGGTAGTTATATGATTTTATCTTAAGGATACCATGTATCCTAAAATTCTTTGTTTTAGCTACTAGAAACTTCGAGCCAAAGGTACAGTCTACCTTTAGCAAATATACAGGCTTCACTAATTCATTCATTTATTTACTTTTGTATTGAGCAGTTACTATGTTACCTAGTGTGCAGTACTGGGAATTTAGTAGTAAATAGGAGAGGTAGTCCTTGTCCTAGTGAAGGAGTTAATTTCCTAGCACTGAAGAGAGAAATTAATCTTAAATGTGATAATGGAATCCCTGAGACTTAGATGATAGAGAAGGTCTCTTTAAGAAATTGACTTTTTGCCCTGGCTGGTGTAGCTCAGTGGATTGAGCATGGGCCTGTGAAACAAAGGGTAGCCAGTTTGATTCCCAGTCAGGGCACATACATGGGTTGTAGGCCAGGTCCCCAGTAGGGAACACATGAGAGGCAACCACACTTTGATGTTTCTCTCCCATTCTTTCTCCTTCCCTTCTCCTCTCTCTAAAAATAAAAATATTTTAAAAAAGAAATTGACTTTTCATCTTAATGCTCAAAAATGAGTGCTGAGAAAAGTTTTCATGGCCCAAACAGCCTTAACATACTGAGTTGAGACAACCCAGTCTTTTCAAGAAGGTAAGCCAAGTCCAATAAAGATGCCTTCCATTCAGGATGGTGGTGAAACATAAGGCAAGAACTGGGCAGATTAACTTTAGCTTCATATCTTTTCACTTTTAAAATATTTTAAAATCTTGCTTGAGCATTATAATGTATAAATTAGATATATACAATATATTTCACCTTAGCCTATTTTCATTAAGCAAGCCCGTGAAATTTTCTCTGCTTTAGAAGAAAGACAAGCCTAGGGTTTGGAGCTTCTCTGCAGTGTTCCTTTTAATTCAACAAAATTCTATGATATGTAGAATATTAGGGATTGAAAGATGATGATGACAAGGACCATCGAGAAATCTACACTATTGAGGCAGGGGTATGGAGGAGCACAAAAACACTTAACTATAATGCAAATCAGATTTTAAGTGGTTTTAAAAGTATAAGAATGAGAAACAAAAATTTATACACACAGACAACAGTATGCTGGCTGCCAGAGGGAACAGGGTTTGGGAGGAAGGTAGCAAAAGGTAAAGAGGGACAAACATATGGCGGAAGATGGAGATTTGACTTTGGGTATTAAACACACAGTGCAATATGCAATATGCAGATGATGTATTATAGAATTGTACACTTAAAACCTATGTAATCTTATCAAACAATGCCCCCTCAATAGATTTAATTTAAAAACATTGCAAGGATAATGCTGTACTAGACCAAATGTAAACTGCCAGGAGGGTTCTTGGAAGGCTTTACAGAGGAGTAATACCTCGTTTAGGCCTTAAAGTGTGTGGTCAATCAAGGAATACAGAAAAATTCAAGTGGGAGAAATAACATACGGTAAAACATACAGTAGTTCCTGCCTTACCCATAGTTTTGCTTTCCTTGGTTCTGTTACCTGCAGTGAAATGCAGTCTATGAATATTAAATGGGAAGTTGCATACATTTTAAATTGCATGCCATTCTGAGTAGTATGGTGAAATGTCACTCAGTTCTGGTCTAATGTGCCCGGGATATGAAACACCCCTTTGTCCATGTTGTACAGGCTGCTCTTCCATTAGTCACAGCAGCCTTCTTGGTTAATAGATCCACTGCCAACACATCACAGTGCCTGTGTTCCAATAACTCTTATTTTACTTGAAAATGGTACCAAAGTGCAAGAGTTGTGATGCTGGAAATTTGGACATGCCGAAGAGAAGCTGTAAAGTACTTTCTTTAAGTGAAAGATGGAAGTTCTCAATAAGGAAATAAAAAATAATCACGGGGATGACTCAGCCCTGGGATCCTGGTGGCTGCTCTCTCTGTTCTCTCTCCAAAGCTACTGTCCCTAATGTCTCCTCAAGCATCTCTAGTCCACGCTTACCCCCACCCCCTTTGCCAGAGCCCAGGGTAAGTGGCTGCATGTGAAAATGCATGCACTGACCCTTTAAACAGCTCTTTGTATCTCCAGCCATCATCTCTCTGGCAGAGAGAAACCCTGCTGCTTTTCACAGCTGGATGCTATCTGTGAACTTTCCAGGCTCTGGTGCTCTGGCTGGGGAGCCCAGCTTGGGGTTTAGACACCACAGTCCTCTAGGGGATCCCCGCAGCCTCCTAAATATCCCTCTGGTGCATCAGCTGCCATCTGTAGGTGTCCAGACAGCCCTCTCATGTCTCCACCACACCCCCTACCCGTCACACTGTGTTGAAGCTGTTTCTTCTCTCTGTCCATGCTCATAAGGCTTCTCTCTCATTATTATGCAGTTGTTTATTCCGGATAATTTCTCCACAATTTAGTTGCAATTGCAGATTGGTCCTGGGAGGAGGTTAGAGTAACTTTCACTCACTCCTCTGTCATCTTGGATCTGTCTTTAAAACACCATTCTTGATATCATGATTTTCTTTCAATATTCATTCTAACATCACCCCCACCCTCTGCATAATACTGATGTGATTTGAGATATTGACATCAGCTGAGCTCAAGGGGTTTACAGCCCGGTAATTTTGAGCCAATCATTTTAGTTCATCTTTCTCTTAATTCAATAATTAACTTAGGAACCTACATATAGCATTTTTTTTTCATGACAGGAATTTGTTCAGAAATGACCAGGTGAATCAGTTCCAATCAATGAGGCCTAGATGATTCAGAGCACATTTTTCTTACTACTCAAAGTCTGTAGAGCATGAACACTGACCAATATGAAGAGACCATTGTAATAGACTGTGCAGGTGTTTACAAGCTAAATAAACATCAGGCATGCTTAAGGGATAGTTTCGTTCTCTTAATGTTGTTACATTTTAAATGAAGCACACACCTGCTATAGTCATGTCTTTTTCAGACCCAACAGGAGCTCAGAATCACAAAGAATACATTACATTAAAACGACCCCCAGCCCTACTGAGGAGCTCAGCTGGTTAGGTCTGCCAAGGCTGCAGGTTAGATCCCTGGTCAGGGCACATAAAAGAACCAACCAGCGAAGACATGAATAGGCAGAGCAACAAGTCAATTTTCTTTCTCCCTTCCTTTTTCCCTCTAAAATCAATAAAATAAAAAAATAGCTTTAAACCACCCTCAAATTAGCCTTGTTTTATAGTATATCCTTATATATTTTTAACTGTGTTTTTGAGGGGGTGGAGCATTCAGTTTTTCTGTTCCTTTCAGCTAAATGCATCCGACTAATACCAGCCTTGTAGAACCCCGTGTGGTACATTTAAACACTCTTATAAACATCGGCTATTGTTGTTGATGCTAATATTATATAAGCCTCTGAAGACATTTTTTCATGTCTTCTCCACGTTCCACTGCTCCCAAATATGAAAGAGCAACTGCTAACATTATAATGGACAGTGGTTGAGAAAACTTTTTCAAAGAAATGTGCAGCTTACTACTCAATATTTACTTCTGGTGCTGGGAGGTTTCAAATACGACCTTATTCAGTGACTATTAAAACTTGAGAAATGAGGTTGATTCCACACTCTAGGTTAGGTCTGAATGGTTGGTTATTTTAAGATACACAATAAACTGAACTTTATAGGACACTACAATTTAGAGACCAATGAAAACAGTGGTCTGGTGTCCTTTTGTAATTCTCTAAACAATACATATTCACATATTAATTTCAGCTCTCTGCTTGTTGAAATAATATTTTTTTCTTAAACAAGAAGACCTGGACTCCATGTCTTTAGGTAAGGCAGATTAGAGAGTTTTTCCCTTATTCCAGGATCTGCT